TTTGCAATAAATCTGCAAAATGTTCCAAATAGCACTTCTGCTGTGTCTTACCCGCATGTCTAGTCTACACATTTTTGGTGGAACCGATGAAACAAATTTAAAAAATCGTGGTTTTTTCTGTTTATTTATTGAAAGCTTTCATCGCTGTATCTTGGAATAATGCTGTGAATTGATTCTCTGGTGTAACTTGGCTTGGTTTTGTTAACAGCATTTTTCACTTTCGAGGCTGTGAATGCGAATTTTTCGCCCATTTGATCGACATCATTTTCAGGTGTTCCAAACGTAAGCTTATCCATTGGTTGGGCTTCAAATTTCTTCTTCGTCGCAGACTCCGCTCGTTCTTTTTCTTCAATCAGGATGTTCTTCTTCCGCGTGGCAAGCTGGGTGATTTTTCTGGAGGTGTTAAAGCTCACTTGGCTCTTGATTTCAAAGGTCGTACTATCGGTGAACAGATTCCGGTCTAGAGGTTTATCTGGTTGTTCTTCCGCTTTGATGGTCTCTCGTACCGAAGAAACCGTGTCGATTGGTGTCACTTTGATGGTGGTTTCTTTTGGAGGTTTAACTGGAAAAAAACGCAATTAACTAGGGTGAGTTTTTGGACAGTCGATGATTTTCGCGTTATTATGCCGTCGTCTATAGGAATTTGGTCCTGACGTTTCGCCAGCTGCCACCATCTTCAGCCACCAGGACCAAGTTCCTATCAAGGAACCCGAAATTCACCAGTGGGCGCAATTGCCAGGCAGTGAGCGAGTAAATTAACAACTTTTATTACGTTGCACGACTTAAAAAATATATTTTAAACATAACATTTACGCTAAAGCCTCTGATAGTGTTCCTATGGGATTTTGGTGCGTGATGCTTCTACCTGATGCCGTTTTGCGATTACTTTGCTCAGCTTGGATTTGTCGCCTCTTATTCGCCTTCATTTCCTCCACGTAGCTAATGTAGTCCCTTCGGTACTGTTTGAATATCTCCCGTTTGGCGTGTTCCGCTTTCGGTTTAATTATGCGAAAATGAGCGGCATTGACGCTTTTCACTTTCACCGGAACCGTGCGGTATTCGGGATGTTGCTTGATGCGATCGAAGAACAGTTTGTCGTACTTCAAGTAGATGCAAAAGGCGTTTTCCCAACTTCCCTCGTTGTAGTAGATGTTGAACTGCTTGTACATGTTCAGGCCGGACTTGTAGTAGAATTTTCCGCTTACGTTCGGGTCGATTTCCACATTGCCTGAGAAGTCGAGCAGCGCTTTGAGCCGCTCATCTGGGCCGAGCTGTCTGTCGATCAAAATCGCCATTGTTTCCACGAATCGATGGAAATTTTGCGGAAAAAACTCAATTTGAATAAAAAGAAAACGTTGTCATTTCTAATGAAATTTCGTGACGTGACGCGCTGGTCCAAGTCATTTTTTTCCGATTCGAATCAACCTACATCCAAATCTGAAGGTAAATGAAAATCGCTTAAAGCCAACGAATTTAATGAATAGGCGCCGATCACGTGAAATGAAACGATTCTTATTTAGTATTATCGATTTATAAGGTTCTGTTTGTTGATATACGGTGACTTTTTAATTGATTTTCCCAGTCCATAAGGTCACGCGATTGAAAAATACCGGCGCCAAACATGCAAGCGGGGCTCTGCACACTCTGATTGAAACAAAATAATTATCGATAAGACGGGCGCACTCAATCATCGTGTTCTATTAAACGGTCCTAATCGTTTATTACATTGTGCGACTGTTGCAATAATTGCAATCGTTCCACTCATTGCGTAACGGCATTATAAATATTCAAAAATTACTGTTTTTAGTAAGTTCTTTCTGTACCTACGTAAAATTTGAAACGAGGAAAATGCTTAAAATCAAGTGTACGTTAGTTGGAAAAATGTTGTAATTTCCCCCGTATTATTTGAGGTCAAAAAACGCACTTGCTTGAAATGTTTCCTCAACATGTTGTGAATGGTCTTGAGACTGTTGAGGTGCAATTTTTTGAGCGGAAATATCCCGATTTTAATGCGTTTTGTATTTAGTGCTATTTTTGTGTTTTCTATAAACAACTATGTGTTTTTTCGAATTATTTCGAAATCAATTGAACCGTGTAGTGTCTGTTTATTTTATGTTTCTTTGGCGTTTCTAATGCGACTTTCTTGTCCTTACTGTTCATTTTGAGTAACTTTCTAGTACTCCTCAATTTTTTTTTCTACACAAATTCAAAGTCTTCTAAATTTTTAGAAGTGTTTTTTCACTTTGCTCAGAATCGTTTTCAATRCATTTGCTCCGCAAACAATTCAAAAATAATATCAAATACTGAAGACAAAAACAAAAATACTGAATTGAAGAAGATTCTCTCGAAARATGAATATGAAGAAGGCAGAAGGCTTTAAGAACTTTATCTGCCTGATGAAGAARACAGGATTTTGAAGATTTTTCAACAGTTACAGCTAAAAAGGATCCAATGGATCATCGGGTCAAGAAACTTGAAATTTTATCATTTGGTGTATCTTCAAGCCGTATTTTTTGTCGTGTGTATTCTATAGTTCTTCTCTAGTCTTTCGTCTTTACGTTTTCTGCACTTGAATTGTTCTGCATTAACGAAACGAAAACTTGACTTAAATCGGAAGCGTAAGCGAAAAGGGCAACAAAAAGAAGGTGAATAGAAACAGTGGAATAAAAATACAAAGCTTGAAGAGCAAGATTTGCATGAATTAAGTGATAAATCTTGCAAAATTTCAAAGAATTGAATTGATAGCAACTTCTCTTGCTGATGATCATACAGATGTTGCTAATCGACGTAATCATGTGAAACGTTGAAGAAAATCCTAAAATATTGAATGTAATTACTCGGCACCCGCTAATCTAATATCCTGTCTAATGCCCATAATGCGGCCTAAAGCGCTAAATCTGTATAATAAGGTCTGTGAAAAGCGATTATTTTTCTAGGATTTGCATATCTAATGTCCGCTTAATGCCTTAAGATGCCAGTATGTAAACACGCGTTTATTCAAATTATGTGTATTTTAGTGGATGTCGATTTGAATAGGGTAATTCATATTCCGGGGGACTAAGTTTATGTCCGAATTTAAAAGATTTCCATAATTATTTTTTGACTATTTCGGTTAAACGCGTTTGAATTGATAGCAAAGCGCTCATTTTTTGAGTTGAGGCTCAATTTGCATCGGTGCGATTAATCTGCTTGAGCGAAGCTGAGCTCTGGTGAGCATCAGAAATGGACAACAGCAGTCGCCTGATCGAGCTAATCGGTCGACTTAAAGATCGAATAACGATAAAGATCCAGCTAATGAGACCGACTAGCTTCGGAACATTAGATATTCCCCGCTGAGCCGAACATGCCAACATATAAAGTTGGAATATGACATGGTTAGAGAAAGAGCACAGGCCAGGCCGCATGTCCTGCTGGCAAGCCAGTATCGTATATGTTGAATTATATGCTGTTCAATCGATTTCATGTAAACAAGCGGCATTTACACGGCTACACCGATATTCGGACATGTTTATTCATTAGTTGGGTGTCCACTACTGATAGTTTATCTTTTCACTATTTGTCGACTGTTTAATTGCCTCGATATTCCTGCCCGGTTCTTTCCAAGTGGGTTTACTAAAGCAACTTCCGATGGAAAAACCGATTCGAAAGACGCCAAAATGATGAAATATTCAGATTTTTGAGGAACGGAGTTAAAGTCGCTGTCGCAAATAGAGCGAGTTAAAAAATGGAACTTGTCATCGAAAAAACAGCCCAAATCAATTTAATTTATTGCACTTTGGATATTTCGAAAATTCAGCTGAATGAATTGAGAACATGTAAAGTGTTCCACAGCCATTAATGTTGTACATAAATGTGCATGTACCATTAAAACTAACAACCGGGGCAAAGCGACGGAAAGCATGAGGAGCAAACCATTCAAAGTGCACTTCTTTCGCTGGCCGGCGTAATAAAGACATTAGAATGGGCGATGTGGGAGTCCCATGAGTCCCGTACCGAATGCAAATGCTTTCCGATATCAGCAATAAATCTGGTTAAGGTGTACAAGTGGTGAAACCCTAGATTTCCGTTCAGTTCACACCTCTGAGCCATCAAACAGAAATCTTCTTGTTCATTTGGGTGATTTTTCGGGGATCTGAACTGGTTTTAACGATCAGATGAGTGAAGAGCAAGAGCAACCCATTTCTAAACGAATAGAGACAACTAATATTTAAAGCTTATCTTAACTCGCTGCCAGTGGGTCTCTTATTTATTAACGACGCCGCCCGTAAACAAACAATAAATGGGCAAAACGGATTTATTTTGCTACTTTAAACAGATAATAAATTTCGTTGCCAGCGCTAAATAGATTTAAGCATCCCAGAGTTAATTGAAATGAAACGCCAAAGCGATTCAAGGTGCGAATCAAAGAATAACTAGGTTTCTTGCTTGTTAAGCGACGGTTCTTGTTGCCTTATTTGCGTCTCCTTTTAAAGGCTGGACAGACGAGAAAAATTATTATAAATGCAGTTTGTATTATTTCAAGCCCCATTGCAACAACGTCTTTTACCGTCAATTATTGTTACTGGAATTTAATTGGTTCTGCCTAGAAATTTTCACCGTCTTAAACTTGTTCTAATCCTTATTAATCAGCCTTTTATGTAGATGCTTTGGTCATTCCCCTATTGTTCCTTATTGAGTTCAAGTGTACGTAGTTTCAACTTCTATTAAATACTGAAATAATGTGAAGAAACGCACTGGTGATGGTATGTGTTAACGTCAGCCCAAGAGTTGCTTAATATAATTATTGTGAGCGCATTGAATAAAAGAGTTAAAGGCCTTATTGAGATGAGTGAGTACTAAAACGCCACTGAACACCGGTTCAAATTGAGCAGTAGCAGTTAATAAACCGAACACGAGAAGCTGCTCAAAATATGAGCCCAAGCTCAAAGTGATTGTGTTTTAAGACAAGAATTGTATTTTATTTAATCAATAAAATTGATCAAGAATACATAACCTTTAACAGGTGGTTTTGGATGACAGTTGTGACCTATTTAGGTATATCACTCATTTGCCCCACAAAGATGGCAGCACTCGGGGGGCTGTTTTGTCGAAGGAACAGGTATTTACGTCATGTTAATTAGGCAGATTACCTTGAAAAGCATTGTTGCCATCCTTCTGATCTAGTTTTTTGGCAAATAC